TTCAAAGGTAGGAGATGAGAGTACCAATGACTCAATGATAGAGCTTCATAACCCATCTCACAAAGGTAAGAGATTTTTTGGCATGTTGCCTCGTTGGGGTAGCCAAGCTTGATATGCATCAAATTGATAGATTTCTAGCACCAAGACCTATCTATCATATTTTTCAGTTACTATAAAGTTGGCTAGTGTTGCTAATTCACTCCTTGAAATTGGAATTATTTATTCCCATAGTCTGTTTGGGTTAGACATGAATTGGAATTGGAATTTAAATAAGCTGGAATGAGATTTCATTCCCAAGGGAGGGGGAGGGAAATTCCAGCAGGAATGGGAATGGGATTCTCTCCACCCATCCAAACAGTTGGAATTGAAATGATCCATTCCGATTCTGATTCCATACCCCTATTCCCATGAACCAAACGGGCCCTTAAATCATTTCTTATTATTTTCATCCTAGTTCTTTTCGGTTTGATGATAATAATAATAATAATAATGATGATGATGATGATGATGATGATGATGATGATAACAATAACAACAACAACAACAATAATAATAATAATAATTAAATATTTCTCATCTCTCGAGAATCTACAAAACTCAAATTCAAACAAAATCGACTTTGAATTTGTAATCATCTTGTTGTTATTTGTTTTTAAAGATTCAAGCTCAAAACTCTAAAAGCTAACAGATTTTTGAGACAAATCGAAATGCAATTATATGGGTTTCCTTTGGGGGTATTTCTAATGGTGTTTTGCACATTTATTTGATGTAGCTTTAATTTGGTTTAGCCGTGGTTGTTGATGAGATTTTGTTTACAAATAACTGGTTGCTTTGGCTCTAGTTTTATATTTTTTGCATTCAACTTATGATTTGTTTGTCTTCTTTTTGGTTAGGAGTTTATGTGCTTCATTCTCAAGGGTAATTTTGTCTAACAAAGAAAATGTATACCTTGTCCCTTCCATTGATTTGAGTATTATTTTTCAAACGCCATTGATGCTGCCAATTCAACAAACTTTCACTATTCATATGTAAATGGTTATTGTATTTTTTATCTTAATGGTACAAATTCGTATTACCATTGAAGGTAAGCTGGTCATTAACATTGATAATTGTGTTCAAAATCTACTCATAGTTGCGGGCTCTTGATGGCCCAACTCTATTAATAATAAGGGTCTGTTTGGATTTTAGGATTAGGGGTCCAGAATCGGAAGCATAACGGTCTCAACTGTTTGGTTAGGCGGAATTGGAATCCCATTCTCATTACTGGTGTAATGGTATTTTCCCATATGAGGGAATGGTCATTCCCCATGAGTCCCTCCCCCTCCCATGGGAATGAGTATCCATTTTAGCCAATTTTGATTCTGATTTCGATTCTGGATTGAACCAAACAAGTGAAGGGAATAGACCATTCCGAATAGAATAGAATAGAATGGTGAGGATTCATGTAGCCACGTAGCTGACCCTATATAGTTGGAACAAGGCTTAGATTAAGGTTTTAAAAACCATCCCTAAACTGGAACGGTGGAACCACTTTTACTTATAGTTTCTCGATTAGTAGTTCAACTTATAGTTAATTGATTTGACCTTTGGCATCATAAAATAATGGGTTTCTTGTAGATAAGGGCAACTTTTTGCCCTTAATATCAATAAAAAGAAATATTTTTATATAATAACTAAAATAGGGTAATTTTTTTGAAAAAAATATCAAGAAAGGGCACTGCAGTTCGTCTTTCTCCTTTGCTCTCTATTCATGCGAATGATCATAACATTCCGACGCTCCACTAAACCCATTGTAGCCCTCCAAGTTCGCCTTCATGAACAGCACGAACGACACAAATACTCCCGACATGGCCTTCCGATAGTTAATACCATCTTCTTGATGCCTTCCATGACAAACCAAAAGGAGTGCATGCCAAGCGGAAGAGGGTCTATGTGCGGATTTAAGTCCAAAAGACTTTGTCATGCAGGTAGAGTGTGATAGCGGCATTAGTCGCGATGTTTTTTAGCCTTGCCTTGGTCCAGGCCATAGGCAGATCAGACGACTCCCGCTCAAAGATTGACAGGCGTGCTCCGATTCTGATTTGCTTGTGCGCCTGAGGATCGCGCTTCCGGCTTATCCAAAGAAGCCAACCTTGTGTTGTTTCGAGTTTCCGTTGTCTCCTACGCCATGGCCGTAGAGCTTTGCTTCTGAGTTCTTACTTCTTAGAGACGACTGTCACTGCTATTGTTGGTTTTTGATAAGGAAGTGAGGGAGTGATACTATTAACTACACCGACTGTCCACTGCTGTTTTGGGTTTCCGTTGTCTCGTCCGTGGGCATAGTTGTTGCTGGCGACCTTAACCTCCTACGAATACAGAGGCAGAGGAGGAAGATGAGCAATGCCCTTTTTTGATATTTTTCTAAAAAATTTACCCTATTTTTAGTTATTATATAAAAATATTATATTTTTTTGATATTAAAGGCAAAAAGTTGCCTTTATCTTATAGAACCCCTAAAATAAAATCATACATGAAATAGTACTGCCACTTGGGGGATTGATGGGAGAAAAAGAAATAAAAAGGAAGAACTAGAGAGTTAATATTAACAATCTCAAGTAAAGGAATATTTGCTCATTTTCTTCCTGTTCACTAAGGAAGTCTCAAAATCCATGGTAAAAATGAATGGAAAAAGAAAACATGAGAGAATTGAGGAATTTAATTTACCCCTCCCTTAATCCAACCTAAATCCTTGGGGTTGGCTACACGAAACAGTATTGTCACAACAATATGATGTGGTTGTAGAGACCTGTTCATGGCTCGGGGTCAGGCCAAGCTTTGTCTCTATATTAACATAATACAGTTGCATGAGCTCGAGCCCAACCCACCCATTGGGCCTAGGTCTTGAGTTCGAGCCTGACCCTCATTTATAACTTGAAGCCCTGCTAGAAAATTGAAAAAAATGGATTTTTCTTTTTTTTTTACTCAACAAAAAACTAATTTATTTATATTAGAAGACCCCAAACCCAAAAATAATAAAAGATCTCATTATGACTTAAAAAATGAGAAGAGTAACAAAGAAAAGAACATATTATATGTATATTTTTATTATATAAAATACGTTTGTTGCTACATAATATATTATCAAGTCGGGCTTGGTCTAGGCATTTTTGAGAATGCTCGAGCCCGACCTGAAAAAAAAAAGTAAAACCTAGTATTTTGGGCCTGAGCCTGAGGCCATGAACCTAAATTCATGTCCAAGCCCAACTTAGAATGGGTTGGTTCGAGCCAACCCACGAACAAGTCTAATCGTACATAGGTTGATTTGTTTTCCATTGCAACAATTGAGGTTTGATACTTTGAAGAAAGAGAGGATAGAAGAGGAGTTGGGAAGGAGAAAAGAAAAGTACTTGCATAATGACACAAATGAAAAATGAATAGAAAATAAGAAACCCTAATTATTTCTCTAATGGGTCATTTAGGATACAAATGAAAATAATTGTACAAATGAAACATGGTTGACATGAATTGCCGACTGTATAATAAAATTAAGAGTTAGGACAAAATATCAATAATAAAATTATGCTTAAAGTTCCATAGTCATTGATTTTTTTTTCAGTATCCTACACTTTGAGGTAGTCTCACTTTACTGCTTGAAGTTTCAAATGTGCCACTCCTGAACATTTAAGTCCAATTCCATTCAACTATAGTTATAATGAGAAATAAAATTACAAAAATGTCCATATTTTAATTCTCTTTCTCTCATTTTTCTACTTTAGGACTTCAAACACAATTTGGAGTTGATAAAGTCTCAATTCAATTGCTCTTTGACCATAGATTAAGAAAACCTCACTATTGGTTTGCATTCAGAGTAGAGAAGAAGATGAAGAGTGAGAGAAAGTGCAAACACCAAGTAAGATTTCTATTTGCGATTTACCTTTTTTTTGTTTTTTTTTTTTCATTTAAGTCACAATGTCAATGACAATGTAATAAATTATAGTGTGCATGGTGTTAGTATTGAAGGCCACGAATACAATACATGATAAACAATTTTTTCTGGTGTCGTGCATGCCGAAATTTTAAATGGTTTCCTCTTTATTTGTGTGTAATGCAATTTCATTTACACTCGTTCAGTTTGGAAGGAGTAAAAATGCAAATATGTAGAGTGTAAATTCTTTTAATTTGTATTATTTTTTATGTATTTATGTTACGCATATTTGTATTTGTAATCTTTCTAAATTGAACCATTGGTGCAAAACACATGGAAGTGCAAATAAATTGACAACATATTTTGACTTAATTTTATCACAACCTTTACTTTAATTTCTTGTTTACACTACAAGTAAAATGAAATGTGAGACAAAATATGTAAAACTCAAAACTAAATAAACCAAAATTTGCATTCTTTTTCAATTTTCACTAGGCTAAGTTTGGAAGGAGTACGAGTACAAATGTATAATGTGCAAAACCTGATATTTTGTATCTATTTGCTTTATATATATTTGTATTGTATTTGTACTCCTTGGAAGCTGAGTCTTATGCTCCATTTGGAACGAATAAGTACAAATACATACAAAATCTTATATCTTGTATTTCTAAATCTATATTTATATGGTACCAAACTGAGCCTTGTACTCGTTACTTACATGCTTAAAATCCTAATATCAATCGCATGGCATAGATTGGATGCTTTGCACCTTTCGAAAACAAGATATTTGGTTGGAGAATTTGCATCCAACGAGAAAAAGAATTAGGGTTTGTCGAAATTTTGATATAGGGAAAAACTGAAAGAGGTCAACATTATCATTTAAAAATTCCAATTCGTGTCAAACTCGAAAGGAGGGACATAAATTTAAGAAGTACAAGGACATGGACGTAATTTTACAAGTGCTGGAATATACTAATGGCAAAAGTGACGATAAATTGATAATAAACAAGAAATAGATAGAAATAAAAAATAAAATAATAATTTATACAGTCACCAAAGAAGCCATCAAGACATAAAAAGGGTTTTTCTCTCTCGGCCTCACCTCTCTTCCCCTTTCTTTTCTCTTTGCAGCAGCGAAGAGAGGTAGAGAGATTGAGAGAGAGAGAAACACGGGCCCTCTCTCTCTGCACAACGCTCCCTCCTTCTACCCTCCCCATTATTCAATAATTTGCGCTTCTGGGTCCCCTCGATTCGGCGTCTCACGTCGCCGGCTACCTGTGTTCCCTCACCCTTCTCTGTGATCCGGACGGCGGCGATTCTCCAGATAGAGAGTCAAGAGTGAGTTATGCAGCAGGCAGATCAGACAGTGATTAGCTTGAGGCCTGGTGGTGGAGGAAACCGAGGCAGCAGAATCCTTGCACCTCGTTTCGACTCTGCTTTTGGCAATTCCGGCGGTGGCGGTCTTGGTGGTTCTTCCGCGACATCTGTTTCGTCTTCCTCCGATCTCCATCTCCTCCGGCCTTATGGCGGCGCCCCTCCCACTTCGTCTTTCAAGGTCCGCTTAGAGCATGCTGGCTTCTTGGATCTAGGGTTTTCTTGCTCACCTTTGTCTTGTCTGTAGTTTCTTTGTGATGTTAATGTTAATTTAACTTTAATATTGAGCTAAAATTCTTAAAAGTTGGATCTTTTTCGATTTTGTGTATCGTTTCGTTCGCTTTTTGGGATCTTTCCTGATGCGAGATTGGGCGATTTCTTTAGATGGTTTGCCTTTTTTTGGTTCTTTTATTGGATTCAGATATTACTGCAATACTACTTCATCGATTACTCATGACATCTGATCCTTTGTAGATGGGTGGCATACCAATTTCTGGTATTCCATTGATCCTTTGTAGAGATATCATTGGTATCTCTATGGAGTTCCTGCGGAAAGGTTGATGTTAATATGCTCATAACTAAGATTAACGGTTTCCAGTTTCTAATTTCCCCCTTTCTTTTGATTGATATGATATAGCGATTCTTATCTTTCTTTTGTAATCTCAATGCTAAGATTTGTAAAAGGAGAAATAAAGCTTCTATGCAGAAAAAAGGTCGTCTTTTTTGGCTTTCCCCCCTGACTCTCTCAAAAGCTAAATTGAATAATGGTTATGAATATGATATTTTCTACCCCGGACTGGAACATAATCAATTGGAAGGAAGTTCATTAGAGATACATGTCCTAATTCTTGGTGGGTTGCTTGAGGATGCATTCCTGCTGTAAATATGGACAAACAGCAATTTATAAGCTTTTAGGTGGGCATGCTGTGAATACTAGGATGCCCGTAAAGAATTTTCATACATGGAGATTCCAACAGAGTAGACTTGTTTAAAAAGGAAATGTAATATATATTTTTTGGTAATTGAGTGAAATTATTATTTGTCATCCTCAATTTCCAACTGTTTCTATGGTCAGTTTGCCTGTAACCTGGGCAGAACGAAATGAATGCAGAATGCCACCTCTTGGATGGGGCATCGCTTGTGGACTGGTAGTCCTATTTTAAAGGATAAGTGTATTAGTGATTGTAGATCCAGTTTTCTACTTGTTAAGTTCTTTAAAATTTCTTTTTCCCCAAAACTAAAAATGAGAACTGGGAAGAATGATTTGAAAAGGCAAAAGAAATCCAAATCAATATTTACAAGTAACTGTCAAAATGCTAGGTCAATCTTCTCAAGACATAGTATCAACATCTTATCTGATATCCTTAACATTATTCTCATACATTAGTATTTAATCACCAATTGCATGCATACACAGAAGTGTATGCTTTCAGTTTATCTCCGATAGATTTTTTTTTTTTATTTAGATTATTTATTTAGCTTTTGCATTGAACAAATAAGGCATAGAAATGTCTTGAGTGATTCTGTTAAAAAAAAGTCTTTCTTGCTTTGAGTGGCAGCACTACATAGATGCCTAACATCAGAAGTTTTATTGGAGAAAGGATGGCATTAGAAAATCAGTTTGTGTTTTCTGTAATTGATGTACAGAATCAGCAAGTTACCTCTTTCATCATTGCAGCTTTGCCTCCAATCTATGGACTTGGGTACTAGGGACTTTTGGAGCACAGGGCTGTTTCCCAGAATCAACAGAGTTTCTGGAGGCCTGGCAGATTAGGGGTTTGAGCAGAAGAGGCAAGGTAGTATGGGGAATTATACGAACTGCAGGTTTTTTGGGCCATCTGGGGTGGGGGGAGGGAATATTTGTATCTTTGGAAACAAGCAAGCCAGAAGATGATGGTTGCTAGGAAGATTAAAGGAATGCTATCACTCATGGTTGGTCACACATAACTTGTTCAAGGGAAGATCCTACAATTCCTTTTTATTTTTGATCCAGACTATTTTTTTAATCATCTATATACTCTTTTTATATAGTATTCAATGTACAGTCCGTTGTTGTACATGGGTGATTGCCTTTCTCATTAATACAATGTTTTATGAGTTTCTCGGAAAAGAAAAAAAAAGAGACATAGAAATATAGGATATGGGGATGCCACCTTCCTGTGGGTTACCACCTCCGCATTTTGATATCAATCTCTATGTGTTTCACTTTATGTTATTAATTCTCGTTTCAATTGTGTCCCTTGCTTGAACCTGTAGGTTTTATTAATTACTGTTTGAATTATCTGATATTATATTTGTATTTTGTACATTTTCCCCAACTTTGGGTGGTTATGACAATGCCTTTGGCTTGCATGTGAACTACTGGTTTTGCACTAGCAATTTGTTCCTGAGCTCCAGTAGATGTTTAGTGTCAGAAAAAAATTATGTGCCAACTGATTCCCAAATAGAAGAAAAAAAGTTGGTGGGGACGTGGGGTGGGAAAATGCAGTACTCAAATATTTTTGAAGAGTTTCTAATCTTTTTACTTCGTCAAGTTTTGGGTTCTGGCTCTTCTAGATGATTCCATTGCTGCTAATGTCAATTTAATGCTGTCTTGGACTGCTAATTTCATATTCCATATAGAAGGAAGTTTACCTGATATTCTTTCCAAATTAAGTGACAAGGCTTTCCTTTCGGGTGCTTTCTTGCTTGTTTTTGTCTGAAATTGTTTGCATGAATAGGTGTTGGAATGGAAGTTTGTTCTTTATTCTTCTGTACATAAGCAACCTATTGTTTCCACTCGTGACCATTGCAGTGATAAACATCACAATACCTCTTTGTAGGCATTGTTATCTTGATATCTTAGAGACAAAAGACAAATTGTGTTGGTGAATTTTCATTATTGATGTATTGCTTTGGTATTGTTTACATACCTGGTATCATCTTATGATTGAGTGACATAGTGGTTGATGTATAGAATGGTTGGACATCTATTGACTCCTGTCTACTACTATTCTCTTGTTTTAGACTGGTGACTTGCGGTTTGAAGGTCGTGAGCGTGTTTGTTACACTCGAGACCAGCTGTTACAATTAAGAGAGGTAATTCTTTGCATTATAATTTCCTCCTCTGTGTGCATTGCAAAGCTTAATAATACTATTTGGCCTATGGAGGAAGGTACCCTATTTTTTTTTGTACTGTCCCCTCTTTTTTTTGATTGCTAAACAAGGAAATATCCTCAAGAGTTTTTGAACGTGTATCTGATGTCAGGGAATGCTTGCTTGCCTGTGTACAGGCCTGCACAAAGGAGATGCCCGACAGTTTCTTCATTCTCTTCTGCTCGAAAAATAATAGTAGAATAAGTTAAGGAAAAAACCTGAAAGGAAATGAGGAAGAGGTGGTTGAGAGACCACTTTCAGTTAGCACAGAGTGGACCTTGTTACATCAGTTGAAGTATCCACTCATTTCTATCACTGATACATCTTGGAAATGGAAAAAAGAATTATAGCTTTTATTCTTTTCTTAGTTGATCAAGATTTTAGGTTTTCCTTGTTTGTCTTGTATGGTGTGTTGCATGAATTATTTGACCATGTATTGAGAAAAAGGTTAGTATGACATTCTTTAAACAAAAGGGTTGGTGGTTGTTACTCATATGTAAACAAAATTTAGTATCATTTACACTGTGGAAAGGATTAGTTGGTGCACCATATATTAGCAAAGTTATGGTATCAATTTAGCATCAATATAATGCTGTTCCCTTTTCTATATTTTGGGATATTGCTAGTCGACTACTGGAGGCAGGTGCACTTGCTATTTAGGCATAGTTGACAGAGACTGTCCAATTCAGTAAAGTGTGCGTATGGCCATATCTGACTAGGTTCATGTCCACAGATCTTGGTACTGAAATTATACAAGTGGTGGGGAAAGATGGAGAGAGAGATTCTTATCGAAATGGCAAATGAATCATGCAGGGCATGCTCTGTACTGTGGTGTGTTCCAGGTCATTGGGCTCCACCATGGCATGTTTGAAATTGTAAGTTTTGGAACACACAACACCCCTTGTGATGCTCTGTACTGTGGTGGTGTGGTGTGTTCCAAGACAGGGATTTGAAAAATAGATTTTTGTACTAAACCAGAGTATAAAAAGTGTGATGTATTCTGGAACATGAGAAATAAGCATGTTCCAGAATTTGCAATATTTTGCATTCTGGAACCAGCTTCAGCCGATTCTAGAATATGTCATGGATTAAAAGGATGCATGGCCTCCATGGCGTGTTCTGGGACTGACTTAAATGAGTTTTGAACACGGTACTGAAAATTCTCTTAATAGCCATGCTTTGTTTCTTTCATTGTATTACCACCCTCTGGTTGGTTATCAGCATGCTGCAATATATTTCTATTGGAAACACAAAATCGCTCTCAGTATAACAATCAGGACAAGAATAACCATCAAAATGACCTCTTCATTGCTTTTGTTAGATATAAGGTGGGAAACAGAAACAAGATAAAACTTTGGTCTGATCTTTGCTCTTTGGTGGGGTGAGAGTGCCCTAGATAACACTTACCCTAGAATTTTAAACCTCTCCCAAACCTAAGAAGCCACGGTTTCTTTGTGTCTTCTTTCTTCAACCGCAGAAACCAATTGGAAACTAAACCTCAGAAGGCCCTTGAGAGAGGTAGAGATTTCTGAAATTGCAGACCTGTTAAACTCTCTTAGAGAGTTTACATCTCTCCTGCTACCCCTGACCAATGGATCTGGAATCTTAGTTCTGCTGGCAAGTTCTCATCTAAATCCTTTTTCAAGGCCCTAGTGTCGGATGAGCAGTGATCAAACTTCCCGCTTAAGAAGGTTTATCACACATCCCTCCTAGAGTCTCCTTTTTTGTGTGGGAGGTGTGTCCAAGGAAAATAGACACTTGTGACCTGCTTTAGAAGAAGAATAAAGGCAGACTGTATTTTCCCTCACGTTTACACTCTTTGTCTCAGTAATGGTGAGATGGCTGAGCACCTCCTATGACAATGGCAAGCAGAGGCTTATGAAGAACAGGAAAAATTTATGTAACTTTTGGGGTGTGTTGGAAGAAAGAAACAATAGATCTTTGAAAACAAAGTGAGGAATGTTGAAGATCCGATCTCCTTCATTACCATTTTATGTAACTTTTGAGCAGTTAATTCTCGAGAATTCAACTTTATCTCCTTGAATGATCTTCAAAGAAATGTAGTAGAAGTCCTCTACGCTTCCCCAGGGTGTGTTCTTACCCACAAACATTATTAAAGGGAAGAGTGTGATGAGACTAAACTTTGATGGGAATGCCCGAGGGACTACTGGTGCCGTGGGAATTGTTGGTGTAACAGGGGAGATAGGGGAATATCTGTTGGGCTTTCAGTGGTCCAATAGGGAATGCTGATTCTACAAAGGCAGAGATATTGGCTGCACTCACAGGGCTTCACGGCTTCATTTTGCTAAAGTGTTAGGTTTGTCCTCCCTACCAATTGAAGGCAATTCTGTCAATACTATAAACTGGCTAGGGGAAAAGGATGGTGGGCCTTGGAGGTTGGCTCACTTTTTGGACAAGGCTAGAGATATCATGGACTCAATGACTGTGAAGCTGACTTGGATTCCCAGGGAAATAAATGCTGTTGCTGACAGCTTAGCTAAATCTGGTGTTCACAGAGAAATTATGTTTTGTGATAGATCTTTGCTTATGTAATTTTGTCTCTGCCCTCTCTTGCTTATGATGTACATCTTCTCATGTATCTCTCTTATGAATAAATTCTCAGTTATTTTTTCTAAAAAGTGATTACAGTTACTACTTTCTCCTTGATGCCCAGAGGGGAACCAAATGCAAGATACTTATTTTAGAACATATTCTTTCTGCTTCTTTTAAAGGGTCATACTTTATATTTTTTACATTTTAATATAAATTGCAGCTATGTTTTAAGTTTTAATGGTTACTGTTAATGTTATATATCTATATTTCCTCTTACATTTCCTTAATTATTTATTAGTTTGTTTCTTAACATTTGAAAATCTTCATCTGTTCTCTGAGGTTTTTTTTTTGTAGATATTAGCATCTTATCCTTGTTATTTTTCACTCGTAGATTGCTGATGTCCCTGAAGATATCCTAAAAATCAAATGTGACATTGAAGCTGAATTTTTGGGCGATGATCAGAACTGGGTTCATGGAGATACTAATGTGAGTCTGCTTATTCATGTTGGTGATTTTTCTGCAGTTAATTGGTTATAGTAGTTTGGAAGGCTTTTTCCTTATGCAATATTTTGGATATGATATAATTTTGTTGTTTTCTGCGCACAGAACTTGCATATCACAAAATATATATTTTTTTCCTGTTTTCCATAGGTGCAACCTCAAACTCAAAGTCGTTATTCGGAGCCAGATAACCGTGATTGGCGTGGTCGATCAGCACAGCTGCCTAGCTCTGGAGAAGAAAGATCCTGGGAAACTCTTCGAGATAATAAAGAGCTTGCAGCAAGTCGATTAGATTCAAGACAGCAGGATCAATTTAATCGGCAAGACCAACTAAATACCCAGTTTTCAAGGGCTCAAATTTCATCTAACCAAGGGGTATTAATTTCTTTCCAGTGCTTATAGTTATTATGTCTTTAACTTCCTTTCTAGTTTCTTATTTGTTTTTGTGACATTGTCAGTCAAAATGATGTTTATGTTGTTTAGAGGCACTTTCAATATTTGGAATTAAATGGATTTGTTTGATGTCTACATTTTTTGAAGGGACTTCTAATGTTTGGAATTAAATATATTTTATGGTGGCTATTTAACATAAAATAATCTGAATGATTATCAATATTTAACTACAAATGTTTGATAGAGTAGAGGAAAATTGTTAGGTTTTGTTTGGTTCATAGGAATAGGGGTCTGGAATCGGAATCAGAATGGTCCCTTCCTATTCCAACTGTTTGGTTGGGCAGAATCGGAATCCCATGCCCATTCCTGGTGGAAAATAGGGAAAGTATATATGAATTGGAAAATGTGGAAATATATGAATAACTTGAACTGTTTAAATTGTTCATGGTTCAATGTCAATTCAACCTGGTTTTTAGACAAGGTCAACAATTTTAGTAGTAACCCAACAGGGTCATATTTGGGTCTAGGGATCAATAAAAACATCCTGTTCCAATTCAACCTGGCTGGTCCTGTCTGTATTGTTGATATTTGTTTGGGTGATACTTGAGTAGAGCTGTGAATGGGTTGGATATAGATTATTAATTGGTTTCTTATGACAGACCTAGAACTGTCCCATTTTTGAATTGGGACAATCGGGTTTGACCTCTGACCTGATTACACCCAATTATACTTGAAATCTATAATTACCTATGATAATAACATTTTAAAACATTATTTTTGATAGGTTGACCTTGACAAAAATGATTATGTTGATAAATCAAGTGTTTTAACCAAAATTATCTTAGATGCAATCCATGGAATGCCCTTTTGGACATAAAGCTTAACAAAAATTACAAGAAAACGAGGAGGCCTTTATATATGTTTTTAATAAATACAATTCATTAAATTTCAGTAGAAGTGAAGGATAAAAGTTTGTTACAAGCATCCCAATGGGAGGTGTGAGGTGCAGCCTCACTCTTTAACAAAGTAATAAGACAAATTTACAAATGGGCCCAGTGCATCTGATCCCTAGTTACCCCTTACTTAGCTAGTGAATCAGCAAGTGCATTAGCCTCCCTTCCTACCCATTGCATAGTTAAATTCATCTGTTGTGTTAGTCTGTTACCATTGAATTTCTTCATTTCATTTCTGTAACACTAAATCACTGAATCTGGGTCTTTAAGCCAACCCACCACCACCTTGGAGTCTCCTTCTATTACCAATTTCTCCACACCTAACTCTTTTGCAATCTGGGTGCCTTGTAGGGCTGCATATAGTTCTTCCTTTAAAGAGTGTTCATTTCCCATTGGTCCTGAAAGATGGCTTTTAAATTTCCTTCATTGTCTTTATAGCCCCTCCTATTCCAGATGGACTTGGGTTGCCATGACTTCTCCCATCGAAGTTTAGATTCAAACAATCTTCAATGGGAGGTGTCCAAACCATCCTGCACTGAGCTAGAAGCTACCAAAATCCAAATCCTTCAAATATCATCAAAGGAGAAAGTTTTGAACAGGTCTAGAGTTTGTAGCCAATATATAACCCTGGTCATTACACATTCCATAATTTGTTGTTTACTTGTTTCCTTCTCTTGGAAGATTCTGGCATTTCTTTCTTCCCATAATGTTTAGACTTCAGACTACTGCTGCTCTAGTGCACCTCCACATTATTCTTCCCCTTCTCTTCGGCAAAACAAAGGTAGATGGATCAAACAGCATGTTAAATTCCATTGGCATATTCCACCTGCACCCAAACATAGAGAAAAACCAATCCCAGATTTCTTTGGCAAATGAGCAGGAGATTAGTAAGTGGTAACAAGATTCACCATCAGATTTACATAGAGTGCACCAATTCAGGGAAATACACAGAGAAGGTCTTTTCTTTTGCAAGGAATCCAGAGTGTTAATTTTCCCAACAGCCACTTCCCATAAAAAAGCCTTAATTTTTGGGGGAATTGGCTGAATCCAAATTCTTTCCCAAGAGGCCTTTATATATTATTAATTATATAACCGATTCAGGTTTGAATCAGTTCGGAACAGCAAGAACCTGTCTGATCCAATTATTAATCAGGACAAAATTACAAAACCTGAACTGACATAATTGGTTCGGTTCTGTCATGTAGATCCAATCCATTGACAGCCCTTTACTTGAGAACATTGCAAAGAGGTTGTAGTCTGAGTTTCTTGTTTTCTGCATCAAATGACACAGTTACCATCTGGGTAACAATTGTTGCTTTGACTGGAGCATACTGAAAGTACTCTTTATAATGCTATTTATACTGTTTTTGTTTGACATCTTGACAATGTATATTATGAATTTATGATGCATGTGTTTCAATTCTGTAGCATAAATAAATGTTTGAAATCCTCAATTGACTTGGATGATGAGGTGTCTCAACCTGGAATAGTTCTTCATTTAGCTGTTTATGTATTTTTGTTGGATACCAAGATCAAATTATGAAAATAATAATAGTACAAGTTCCATCATTGTGAGGTCAGGGAGGACCAAACTGGGCTTGGCTTACACACACTAGAAATAGAGAAAAAGTACCTTCACTAGCCACCAGAAGGGGTCACCCATTTTTATGCGAATCTTACTACTCACTCCCTAGATAGGGTATTGTGCAGGAGTAAACTGATGAAATGTTCTGTACAAACAAGTTTCCTGGTTCAAACGACCAAGTGTCCATTCTATTATTGGAATTGCCATGGCCCATCCGTATAAAAAAGCATCCATTCTATGATAAATCAGGACCACTTTCTTCTGCCCACACTTTCTCTAGGCTATACAATATGCCTGCTCTTGTTCCCTGTAGTAGAGCCATGATCTCTGCCCTGATAGGGTCCAAAATCTACAGGATCAGAAGAATTTCTAGGAGTCTATCGTGGGCTAGTTTGTACTCATAAAAAAAGTGGTGGCTTTGGATGTGAGCTATGTACTGCTACTTAATATCTTAAAGTTCTAATTATTTTAAGTTACCAGTTACCTATAAAAAAACCTTCTATTTGTTTCCCTTCTCTGATTTCTATGCTCCCCCAACTCAAGATGGTCTATTTTGTCCAAAGGACAACTACAAAGTAGGCTGCATTATCCCCTGAGAAGGAGACTGCTCCTCTTTTTTTTTTTTTTTTTCTTTTATGAAGTAAAGTCAACTTGTGACTTGATTTGAGGCAATGGTTCAACCTGCATTTATTTGATAAACTCCACTTGCTGATTTATATGGGGGTTCAGATATTGTTTGTTTTCTTTTTTAAGGGTCATATGTAAGATGAAAGAAATATGAGGGAGGGATCAGCAGGAAAGACTCGGAAGCTGTATAGTCTGTTTTGATAGGTAGATTTTTCAACATGTGTTATTGTATGTACATAGTAAGACAGGATACCAATATTGCATGCTAACTTCTAGTATTTTCCCAAATTCTTAATGGTTCTCATATTTATTTTCTCAAAGAAATGTGTAAGTGAAATATATAACCAAATGCAAATTCTAGTAGGCCCCGTTCATTTTTAAAGAGGCCACTTGGGTAACTGCACTTACCAGGTAAATGTTTTCTGGGTAATACTTACTCGGGTTAGTTCACTTTCCCATGTTGTTTTGATTCCCAGGTAAGATATACAATAACTTTTTTTTTTTTACATAAAAATCCATTGTTGGAATGGGCAAACTTGTCTGATTATGTTTTGAAAATTTCCCCCCAGGTGGGGAAGTTACCCACCTGGGAGATGGGTGCCATAGGGAAAATAACTTCACTTTGGGGCCCACAGCTTACCAAAGTTAAAACATCAGCACCCATGTGCAAGAAAGTACTTTACAATGAAACCAATGTACAGAAAAGTCTCTTTTTTCATCCTTGGAAAAGGTTCACTATTGAACATTTTTTAACTTGTTTTGATTCTTTAGGCCAACTAAACATCTTAATTTGACAATGCAACTTGATAATTGGTTGATTACTCCAATACCCAAAGTAAAAACATTGGAACCACTTTTTATGCAAAATTCTTAGATACTCATGCTCAAATAATTGGCATCTTTATTTCTATCAAGTAATGATCTTGTGTAATTGACAGCTTGTTCAAGTGTCCCTACAGGAAGGTCTGGCTGCTATTTCTTTTGATTTTTTCTATTGGCATCTAATCTTTTGTAGTTCATATAGGTGCAATTGGTAGCTTTATGGTCTTGGTTTTGATATTTTGTGATGCCTATTAAATTTCAAATGTTAGTTGATATGCCTACTTCCAAATTCTGACATGACATGTGGATATAATTAATTTAGGGGGTTCTCACCAATATGTATGATAGAATTTTTCAGAAGAGATATAACTGCTATATCAGCAGAAAATATTATTTTGTTCTTGAAAGCAAAAACAACTGCACATCAGTAAAACCATGTTTTTGCTGATTTGCCATTTTTGTTTTGAAAAAAAACCATACATATTTGCAAACACGCCCTTGGTTCTTTTGTTTATTGCTTTTTCTTGGTTATGGATTTTATTTGTTGTTTTATTACATGGTTTGATGTTTGCTTGCATTACTCCAGTTTGACATTAATTTCGAGCTTCTATTTGTTGACATTTGAATCAGGGGCCTGCTCCTGCTCTTATCAAGGCTGAGGTGCCATGGTCAGTTCGAAGAGGGAACCTTACTGAGAAAGAACGTGTCTTGAAGACAGTGAAAGGGTAATTAATAATGAGCATCTCTACTTTAATCTAATAACATTTGGCTTCTGCTTTGTTGCAGAATTTGTATCTTCAATGGTAGCCGTCAAGTCAAACCGTCTTCTATTAGGAATTCTAGTTTGACGTTTTTAACCAAAAATGTTAATTGTTCTTTTCAACCCATTGGACCATTATTGTTGTTGCTTATCTCTGCCTATTGCAGTCAGCAAAAATTAATCCTTAATTTGTTTGCAGCATATTGAACAAGCTGACACCAGAGAAATTTGATGTCCTAAAAGGCCAACTGATCAACTCCGGAATCACAACTCAAGATATCTTAAAGGTTTTCATGCTTTAGTGATGTTTCATGTGATTTGTTAGAGTCCTTGCTTTCCAGCTGCTAATGGAACTTAGAGATTTGCTTGCCTTGCAGGGTGTCATCTCTTTGATATTTGAGAAAGCTGTGCTGGAGCCCACGTTTTGTCCTATGTATGCTCTTCTTTGTTCTGATCTTAACGAAAAGCTGCCACCATTCCCTTCTGATGAGCCTGGTGGGAAAGAAATCACGTTCAAGCGTATTCTGTTGAATAATTGCCAGGAGGCATTTGAAGGTGCTGACAATCTCAGGGCAGAAATTAGGCAGATGACTGCCCCTGAGCAAGAATTGGAACGTAGAGATAAAGAAAGAATGGTGAAACTGCGCACCCTTGGAAATATCCGCCTTATTGGTGAACTTCTAAAGCAGAAGATGGTGCCTGAGATAATTGTTCATCACATTGTTCAGGTTCATTTTCAAGCTTCATTCTACTATATCTCTTTGAAACTTCTAGATGGTTTGACTACCTTGGGAATCAATCACGTTTTCCTTTTGCAAAACAGGAGCTTTTAGGACACGATGGCAAGTCTTGCCCAGATGAGGAGAATGTTGAGGCTATATGCCAATTCTTCAATACCATTGGTAAGCAGCTGAATGAGAGCCAAAAATCCCGTCGTATCAATGACATGTACTTCAACAGATTGAAGGAGCTGACAACAAACCAGCACTTGGCACCACGGTTGAGGTTCATGGTCCGTGATGTTCTGGAACTGCGGGCCAATAATTGGGTCCCAAGGCGTGAAGAGGTATTTGCAAAGGTTTATCCTCTAAACATGTTTGAATTCTAGTTGCCATTGATTTTCAACCAGCCATTTTTTCTTTCCAGGTGAAAGCGAAGACCATCACTGAGATCCATTCGGAGGCGGAGAAGAACCTTGGGTTACGTCCTGGTGCAACAGCAAACATGAGAAATGGCCGTGGTGCTGGTGCTTCAGGAGGTATTGGCCCTGGAGGTTTCCGACCTGGCTCTGGGGGGATGATGCCTGGAATGCCTGGAATGAGGAAGATGCCTGGTATGCCAGGGATTGACAATGATAATTGGGAGGTTCCTCGAACCCGGTCAATGCCAAGGGGTGATGGTTTAATATCTATGCAGTCTTCTGGACGTGTTCAGACCCCACTTGTCAGCAAGTCAACATCCATCAACTCCAAGCTGTTGCCTCAGGGCAGTGGTGGTCTGATGACTGGTAAGACCAGTGCATTATTACAGGGTAGCGTTCCTCCTGCACGTCCATCGAGCCTTGTTTCAGGCATGGATCCTGTAGCTCAGAGCCCTGCATCTGCACGGCCGGTAGTGTCAGCACCATCTACAGTGCCTGTTCCCGTGAGACCAGCTGCTTCTGTCACAAGATCAAACCCTGCTGAACTTGAGAAGAAAACAATCTCTCTTTTGGATGAGTACTTTGAGATACGTGATCTAGATGAAGCATTCAGGTGTGTGGAGGAGCTGAAGGATACTAGCTTCTATCCAGAGGTTGTCAAGGAAACAATCTCCCGTTCGCTGGATAGGAGGGTCCCATGTGTAGATCTAGCTCTGAAGCTCCTGGACTTCTTGTTTGCTAGGAAGCTTCTTTCGGCCAGAGACATGGGGACTGGCTGTCTTCTGTACGCGTCAATGTTGGATGACATTGGCATCGATCTGCCGAAAGCACCAAGCAATTTTGGAGATGTCACTGGGAAGCTGGTCTTGTCTGGGGCTCTAGATTTTAAGGTGATCAAGGAGATTCTGAAGAAGGTGGAGGATACCTATTTCAGGAAACTCATCTTTGATGCTGCTATGAGCAGTCTCGATTCTGACCCTTCTGGCCAGAAAATATTGAGTGTTAACGGTGCTGAAATCCAGACCTTCCAGAGCATGCTTTCCTGATCGGGTCAAAGCCATTCTTAGTAGTCAGTAGGTTTTGAATTTCTGTAATCATGAAAAATCAAACATTTCTGTTGTTTTCTTTTATTTATATTTTTTTAATTTCCTCCTTTTACCCATTCCTGAGGCAAGCAACATGTGTTACAATTTGTGATAAAAGTCGAGCTGCGAAAAACTGGTAAATCTATTGAGTTTGTATATTTTTCGAGGTCATACGAGTGTGTTGAAGCGATAAATGAACAAAAAAAAAAAAAACATGCGATGAATGTTTCACTCTCGGCCGTGCCTAACTAATTTTGCCCCTAGATGATGCTCATCATGAACCAGGCTATATGATCCATTTATTATCTATGTTTAATCAGTTTTGGTGAAAGCCCACTTTATAGTTTTTCTCTTAGTTAGTTAAGCTTTGATTCTTTTTCGTCTCGTCAGGTTGGTTTAAGTTGACAATGTGGGATGATTGCCTGTGCTCTTTTGGGGTCATTGCAAACTGGGTCAACGATCCTTCTGTGGTGATTGAACTAGCAGACGTGCACTCCCTAGGTGGACGTGGAAGCACATAAAAGCCTCTTCAACTGAAGTGTTTGAATGCCATGATCCATGGGCTAATGGATTTTCACTTAACAATGCTTATGGTCTGATCTGATGACAGGATGGACGTATGACTGGCGACATTGTCTTGCACATGGTTTTCAAAACCGGACCAGCCTGGACGGTTAGACAGGAAAAACTGCCGGTTCTCGCCAAAACTGTATTTTGGCCAAAAACGTTGATTTGGTCAGCAAATCATTGATCCGGGCGGTTGAATTGTTTGAACTGTTCAACGGTTTTAACTGTTTTTTAATTTTTTAAATTTTGTCAGAATGGGCTGACTGTTTGACCCGGAAACAGGACCCCTAACCGGTTCGATCTCGGGGTTAGTTTTAAAAACCTTGGTCTTGCATAGTCCTACTGCATCTAGTCATGTGGGCAACCAGGTGTTTGTCTGCATGCAGCAGTAATGCATGGAGTGCTGTTGGTGGCTTGGTGCATTGACTCCTTGTCTCCTTCCAGTACAGTATAATTGTCGTTTGGTTGCATGCTGTTTGGCCAACTGAACTGACCTAATCGGATCGGGTTGGGGAGTTGGTTACTCAAAATTGACCGTTCATTTGTTAAAATTGGCCATCTTAGGTTGTATTAATTTGGGCTGATTTTTGGTTCAAAAGATATAAATTTTTATAAAACTAAATGTAAATTTAAAAAATTACAGTGGTATTATTAAAGAACAAATTAAAATTTATAATACAACACATTTTAAACTAGAAAGTATGAGAAATTTCTCACTTTTTCATATTAAAAATTTAAATTTAAAATATAAAATATTAATATATCAATAATCGATTTGGTTAAGTTTACAAATGACTAAACCGAAACCAACCTGACCTGATTAGGTTGGAAAATTGTAGAACCAAAGCCGATTGGAAATATAAAAACCCGACCAACTCAGGTTGAGTTAGCTTGGCCGGTTTCCTTAATTTGATGAACAACCCTAGTGTTTTGCATACGTAGTGCTTGTGTGGTTCCTGATTACTGTTAATTGGATGGGTATCTAAGCTTATCCTTTGACAAGGTCAGTTGTCTCTGAGCTTAGGGACAGGCTCAGTTTGTAATGCGTATTGCATTAGTACTGATGGAAGTACATGAGAGTGAAAATAGGCTGAGTCTGAATGTAAATTTTGGTTACTTTTGCTTTTAATATTTGGCTTTATATTATTTGTTTGTGAGAAGTAAAATGATATAGTTCCCATCTTGAAAGAGAATGGAGATATGAAAGGGCTATTTGTTTTTAGGAGTGGTGGGAAGCAAGATAATGTGATCCCTACTTCATATGGGAGAGAATTGAGACAGGAAAAGTGTGGTACAAATTAGGGGTGCCAAGTTGTCTGGGCTGGGTCGGGTTTATGCTCGACAAAAGTCCAACCCTAAGAGTTGGGCCTTAGGCCTGGGCCTGTACTTAGTCGGGGTCAAACCCGATCTAACCAATTGGGGCCCAGTCCACATTTGATGCACCCGGGTTGAATGGCAGCTAGCCGTGTGTGTTTATAAAAAAAACATGCATACAAATATGGGTCTTCTATGCATACATGTATATATAGTTGGGCTGGGCTGAGTTTGGCCAATTGGCCCTACCCAAAATATTAAAACCGAAACTTCAAACTTTTGGCTTCTGGTGCAGTCCAAGTAAGGGTGTCAATGGACCGGTTTTGGATTGGACCCCGTCCACTCCATAATCAATTTGGACGGATTGGATGGGCCAAAATATTTATTAGATTGGATTGGACCTGGTCTGTCCGTAATAAATTTATATTGGATTGGATTGGGTTAAGCCAATATCTGATCCGTTGATATAAGATAAGAATATATGTGTCAATGGATCAGATTTGGATTGAAACCAATCTAAATCAAAATGAATTTGAACAGATTGGATGGTCTAGACATCGAATTGGACCAGTCCAAAGTGGTCCATAACATTCATTGGATTGGATCTGGTCCATTCATAATGGATTCACATTGGACTGGATTGGATTGGACCAAATCCAGTCCAATTGACACCCCTAAGCCCAAGGACTGAAAATCCAGTGTAAAATTTGGAAGGCAAAATTTGCATTACCAGCAAGTGCAAATGAGAACAAAAAAAAAAAAAAAATGCACTGGTTCTAAGGTAAGCGTGTAAATCATAACTACAAATAAATAGATGCCAAACTGAACTAACAAAATTTGTATGGTTCTTATTTGCACTGCAAACCAATAGAGCGTAGAAGGCACTGGGATCAAACTTGAAACCGTTTTGGTCATTAGGTAATGGGTCAAACGGTCCAACCATATGGCTTACTCGTACAAATAAAAGAAGGTAAAAAAGTGTAAAAAAAATAAAAAAAATGCTTGTCTACGTATTTGAGATTAAACCAATATGCAAAATGGAAACACATTGCATCTCTGGATTTAACATAAATGGGCTAAATGGTTTAAAATGGGGCATCCAAAGGGTTGTACATGGGCAGATCCACCCTAGTCTAGATCCACATCCGAATTTAGAAACGGGTTCAACTACTTATGACTTTATGAGACATTGAGATGGACCCTACCTGATCTATTTTACGCATTTGGGTCGGATTACAGCTGGATCCTCTGGAAGAGTTCATATGAGGATTAAGGAGGGGTCGGGGTTGACCTCAATCTAACTTAACCCGGCCCGACTTGCCCCCTAATAAGAAGCCTAACTCAGACCGGCCATTACTCTGGCCGTGGTTGTCCGGTCCGCCCGAGTTACCGCTCCTCGTGAAACTGAAAAGGTTCGCGCCTTTTTCAGTTTTCTTGAAATACGCACTCTGAACTCTGAAGAACCATGGAGAAAACACAGAAGGAGATCATGGAGTCGGATCAGTCGCTGAAACTTGCTGTAGCAATCGCACTCGTCCGATCGAAGCTACTCGGGAAGTCATCTTCTGATTTATCTTCTTCTAATTCGGAACCCGACGCTCAACGATGGAAGCGAAAGGTTTCTTGGAATTCATTTGGTTCATTCCTCCTCTATCGCTTCAGTTTGATCAAATAAAACCTTAATCTCGTCTCCGTTTCTGGAGTTTCAGGCGAAAGAAAGAAAATGGGAACTTTTGAGGCTCAAGGAAGAACTTAAAGAACTTGAAGGTTTCGTTTAAATATCTAGCTCTTTGTTCTCCATCGTAGCTCTTTCAGTGGAAATAGGAGAGCATTGGCTTTGGAAGTTTCTCTTCTCTTTGTTTCAGATGGAATACAGTACGATTTGTTCCCGCAGAGTGCGTCATGTAAATGCTATTTCTTTGATAAATTGGGGGAATTGAATCCTAAGCGATTGCATTTGGAATATGACTCCGATCAACGAGTCAATGAGGTTTTGCGTCGGAGATTTCTAAGACAAGGTTTTGTTATTTTTTTACCCTTTCCTTCAGTTATCTTCTTCTTCTGAGATGCTTACCTTGAATTTTCTTTTCCTTCTATTTCTTCAGTGCGTTTGAACGAAAGGAGGAGAAAACCAGATGACTCTGTACGCATACGACGTATTTTGGGTACAAGAACATGACATTCCATGAATTCAACTAGTAATTGTTTTCCCTCCTGCATTTTTGACATAGCATTTCTTAGGAGTTGGGATTAGTGAATACCTTTTAGATAATTTCCTTTTATGTGGTTTCTGGTGATAACTGTAGACTCAAACAGTGGAGATGAGATAGAGCAGCTAAGTACTTCAGTTGATTTTCTGGTGGAGCTCTGCGACTCTGTTTCCCCTGTCAGTGTGCATAAGTTTTGTTTAATATACTTTTCTTCCACTAATCACGTATGTCCATGAAATATTGTCTTGTTTTCCTCCCTTTATGTTGTCCTCAGTCTTCAGTTTTGTTTTGCAGCTAAATGACACCTCCTTCGCTAATTTGTCACATCAAGCTGTAGACTTCATTTTAGGTAGTGTTCTGGTTAATAATACTCCAATTTCTAATTTGAATTTAACAATTTTGTGAAATATGCTGAAGTTGCATAATCTATTCCACTAACAGTTTATGAAATTTATATAGAGTAAATAATTAAATAGTTGGGGTTGTGCAGTTAGCTCTAGCATTAGAATTACACAACCAATAGTATCTAGTAAAAACATAGTAGATATGCAATCAACCACAAGTCAAACTAATTTCCTTTTTCTGTCAACATGAGATGCTTGATTGTAAAACAAAAGCTGGTTTAAGGGGTCTTGGTTAAAATTGATTATAAAGGAACTTTATTTCTCACATTAAGTAGTTAAAGGAGGTCTTTCAGAAGTTCTTTTATCATCTACTCAACTGAACCAAACTCTCTATTAACAATTTGAGGATAGCTAAGCATATTTTTCTTAGCTGGCAACTTCTTTCTAAGGCCATTTCTTTTTTAAACCATAGGTTCTCATTTCTCTTCTTGGCTTTCACATTTTAGAGCTTTAAACTTAGTACATATTACTGATTTTCACTGGTACAATCAACCCTTAATTGGTCTTTTGATACACATGACAGAACCATGTAAGTTTGGTTTTTCCTCATATTGCCACCTATTGAAGCTAGCCTTAGATTCCCATGACTCCATGAATGTATTCTTTCCTCATATTGTCACCTATTGAAGCTAGCCTTAGATTCCCATGATTCCATGAATGTATTTTTCCCTCACATCCATTTCAACATACCTAATCTTAGGTTATGCTTAGTCTATGCATGGTATTTGTTAACTTCACCATACCCCATGCAATTTTCTGGTTATTATCTGTCTTGTATCTTTGTTTTGTATTTATTAGTCATACAAGGCTTTAGATGCACTTCTCTACATTGTTCACATTCTCTTAATAAGCTAAGACTTATGCTTTCTAGACTTGTCAATCGACATCATCAACGACAATATATGCCATGGGGCTTCAACAATTATACCCACTTATAGATTGGGTTTGGGCCTATTGTGTCTTGTAACCGGGTACCTTTATGGTGATTGGAAGCTTTCTTATGTGTCTCATTGAGGTACTCTGTGCTGGTCAGTGCCTCATTATTGGTTCTTAGTCGAATCAACCTATCTTCATTTAACTCTTTCCTTACGAGAAAACCCTCCATGTTATCTCTTTGGGTTCCCTTTCTATGCCTATTACCAGATAACTCAGTCTTCGTGACATAAAGCCAAAGTCATTTTTCTTACTAGCTACTATGTTTTATCTTCTTAAGCTAAATTATCTTATCGTCATTTTTCTACTTTTTCCTTTTAACAGATAAAATCTTTTTGATAGATTTTTTTAATTATTCATAAATTTATAATTTTTTACCAGAATTTTGACAAGTAACCAAAGAAGACCTTGGGGATAATCTTGGGAAAGTGTTGGGGATTCAAATGTCTAATCTGGATTGTTTTGTTTGGATATGTAATTGAGTCGTTTTTGACATATTACCTGGTCCGTGAATGTTGCCTTAACACCTGGATAGGATGTAACATTTTTCTTTTCTAATGAAATTTTATTTTACTATAGAAAATTATAATTCTTTTGTTATGCTTTTGTATAAACAAAAGATTCATAGAAAACCAGGATTAGAATCTATAAATTTCATTAGTTCCGGCTTGATTGGCTATAAAATTTTCAGCTTATATTTATATTGACCATATTATGATAGTGTGAGAATTATCACCATACAATTTTCCTGTCCATTTCTTTAGTGGGATGCATGTTAGAGTTCATTTTTTACTACATATTCAAACTTATCATTAATTCATTACCTAGTGAAAGGCCATAAGGTGCACATAAAGTTATATTTTATAAGAATTGAATCCTTACTATCTTGGCTTGGCTCCATGGACATTATTACTGTTTTAATTACGAGCTTGGCAAGTTTGAAATGCATCTTGTGTCGTTATTTATTTGTATATACTTTTTGGATTGCATCCATGTGTAAGCATATACCTATCATATTTGGTGTTTTAAAAGGTGTTCGTTCTTTGGCTCAAAGGTCCGCAAGACTTATTTTGTTGGGTGTCTCGCCTAAACCCAGGTGTACTTCACCTGACTTATTACAATGTTGCTATCTTATAATGAATTATTATTGATTTGATGTTGAGTATGTAAGCTGCTACTTGTAGGTTGTATCTATTATGCTTAGAGTTTAAACAGTTTAGCCTATGTAGGACTTGAAAGATGAATGTACAAGGCTACTACGTTCATGTTAGTAACACCAATAAATATATTAGCTTTTTTGAACTATTTTGTTTTCTTTTGTAAATTAGATTTTCATATTTTTGTTCATCTATCTTTTTTCTTTTGTTTTTGTTTTTCCTAAAAGTGAACCCACCTTATTCAGGTTTATGCCTCACCTTGCATCTTAGGCTTTAGAAATCCCTTGCACCTTAGCTCTACACTTGCGCATCTTTTAGAACAGAGGTTATAGTCAGATATTGTCAAGGACACTGCTGGATTTCATACACAAAATTGCATTAAAATTGAAGTATCCAACCCAAGTGGGCATTGATGCAGAGGTATCTAGGTACTATAGGTGTGAAGTTCTGTAAATTATTTACTACAGATTCATGCTGTAAAGTATGTGTTCACTTCTAATGAGAAAAAAGTTCAGATTTTTTCTTCTTAGCAAGTTAGCCCCTAAAATTTTATCCATTTCATTCCTCTTCACGTTTATAAAGGCATCTTAGTTAATCTTGTTCAAGGGCTTGTCAAGGTATTTTCTTGTTTTCATAGACTTGCAGGGGTGCTATATTGGATCTTGTATTCATAATTGTATATCTACAATTGCATTCTTTCATACTATAATTTTTAAACCTTCAGATTTTTATCAAGTATCTTTTATACTTGATTCATGAATTTATCTTTTCTTAATATCTATTTTTTTCTTTTGAAGCTTCACTAGAGATTTTGCTATCCAAAGGAAACAATAAAGAAGCTATTGAAGGGATTATCAATAAATTGATTATGCGATTGGTCAGAAGAATGGGTGACCCCTCACAGAAAGATGGTAAATATACTTAAATTAATGGCATTTTCACATTCCTATGTGTGCATATTTGAAGTAATGACTATATTATGACTTGTTAGTTATTTGAACAGAGATGAAACTCAGATATTGCAAGGACAATGCTGCATATTTACCACAACTCTCCCTGGTGTGGTGCTCAGCACCATTATCTATCTGTATTCTAGAAGCGAATATGTTTACCATAGTTTTTCATACTAAGCCTTTAATAGACCATATTTTAATTTATTCTTGCTTCTTGGAGAGACATCCGTGATTTGTCTGACAAATACTAAATTACTTGGTAAATACATCTGTGAAGATATCTGACTGGGGGACTTAACCGTATTCAAAGAGACAAAATGAACTGCTTATTTACTCTTGCCAGCTGGTTAGCATCTCTTAATGGATAAAGTTGTTCATGTCTTTTGACTATCTGGATTTCCTTAAATTATCTCTTTTGGTAACCGTGGTCGGATCCATACTTCTTCAAATACTCATTTTAGTTTGATTAATCTTTGGAGAGTTTCATATTTCATTGTTGCTACTATTTTGAGCTTGTACTGTAGTATTTCTGTATTTGCACTATTTTTTTCCATTTCATTTCTTTTTATTCATTGTGTTTTAAATTGTTTGATTACAGAATCATCTAATTCTGGTTCTTATCTGCAATTCTATGTTCAACACTTAATTCGTAAGGTTGGACGGAAGTCATACATTGGCCAACGTGCAATGCTTATGGTTTCTCAGAGGATTTCTGTACTGGCGGACACTTTGCTTTGCATGGATCCATTTGATGGTGCTTTCCCTAATATGCACAGCTGTATGTTTATGATGTAAGTACCCTAAAAATTGATTATATCAACAGTGAGTTACTTGTGTGAACACTTGTGGATATTTAATTAATCTTTTGGCAGTTGAATTTTTTGGTGATGCCTGTATTAAAAACTTAGCTGCGTAGCTGAATTAAAGACATGACTAATTTTGTTTCTTGTGATCAGTTGTGAGGGATCCAACTGGTTACTTCATATATCAGATCCCCTATTTAGGGCTTTGCTAGCTGAGCAATACTGGTTACTAATAAAATAAATTTACTGCATCTGACACCTTGACACTGTTGAGTGTATGCATGGCATTATTTTATAGAAGGGTGTTTCTTGTTTTCTCTGGAAAAGTGCCCTACAGATGTGTTTTGGCCCCACCACTTTCCATGTTTCTCATGAAGATTGGAATGGAGGTGCTGGGTTGCCCAATTTGGAGAATTTCAGCTAAATAGGGCGTGGGTTTGGGGTTGGGCCTATTCAAAATTAAACAAATACTCAACCCAACCTGACCCATGTTGCACTGAAGCTACTATCAAATGGCTCCGACCTAATAGATTGCCCACGCCAAGATTTGTAGCTATCTGATTGATGCACCAGTTTGGAGCTTGTTGGGTTGTCAATACTTTCTTCCCGACTGTTAGATTAAGTATGGTAAGGATATTTATTTTGCCTAATATAGAACTCTTTTTTTTTTTTTTTGCAAGAAAAGAAAAAGAGCAGCTTAATTTATTTACTGAGAACTTTACATAAGTTAATACATAGATCATGGAAAAAATGAATACGGAACAAAGCATTAGCATGTCTTAAGTTCTAAAGGTCTTTACCATGTTCATAAATGCTAGTTAAAAGAGCTAGCAAATTTAGCAGAGCATTGATATTGGTGATTTAATGTATAACCCTTTAGGTAATATGTTACATGTATACACAAGATATCACGTACCATCAAGGTTCAAAGCATATTGATATTGGTGATTAGGGTAATATATTACATGTATACACAAGATATCAAGTACGATTAAGGTTCAAAGTATCGATACACTTGATACGCACGAACATGCGTATATCAGATGTTTTTATACTCTTAAACACTTTTTTT